GGCGCGGTGTCACCGCCTAAACCGTCCCCCCGGAAACCCTCCCTGTGGGTCGGAGCCTGGAAGAGGAAAGAGTGGCTGGGAAGCCGGAAGCGGGGGACCGGGGTGGGGGGCGGGGGAGGGGGCGGCCGGTCTGGTGGCCTCCAGGACACACGGATGCCTCCCCTCTCCTCCGAGGGACGCGGACCGGGGCGGCGCAGGCCGGGCCCCGTGCGAGTCCCCGGGGACGCACACGAGGGGACCCTGGCCCCTCTCTCCTCCGAGCCTCGTCCTGCCCCCCCCCCAGTCTCCCCGCACGCACGCCACCTCACTCCCGCGGGCTTACTGAGCGCCCACTGTGAGCTAGCTCTGTCCTTGGTGCTGGCCACACAGGGGCCGGACCAGGCCAGGGTGGGGCCGGTGGACGGATGGGTCGCCACCGAGGCCCAGGGCCGGGCAGGGGGGCCGGGCACCGGGGAGGCACGCACCGAGCAGCAGCGGAGAACGCTGGCTCTGGGACTGGAGCAGGGTGGAGAGGCCTCGGAAGCTTTCCTGAAGGTGACAGCGCCACCCCTGCAGCGGCCTCCGGGGGCGGGGGGTGACCCTCTCAAAACCAGCAGTGGGACAGACAGGCAGGGCTGGCTGCAGGAATCCACGCGTGCTACCCGCGCGCTGTCCGGCGGCCGGGACATGCCACACATTGTTGGCACAGGGTGGGGGGCCGTCCCTTGGGTGCAGTCTCAGGGTGAGTAGATTCTGGAGCCCCCACAAGCCAGCAATTCCAGGAATGTTCTCTTCAGACAGATGCAGAATGGTGCAGGAACCAGGCCAGGCCAGCATAGAGTCAGATATCTAAAAGGCCATCCACTGGCTGCCTGCCTGCATCTCATGTCTGTCATCCTAGCTACTCCAGAGGCTGAGATCTGAGGATTGTGGTTCGAAGCCAGCCCAGGCAGAAATGTGCCAGTGAGCGGGGCGCTGGTGGCTCACACCTGTAATCCTAGCTACTCAGGAGGCTGAGATCTGAGGATCGCGGTTCAAAGCCAGCCCGGGCAGGAGGGACCGTGAGACTCCTATCTCCAATAAACCACCAGAAAACTGGAAGTGGTGCTATAGCTCAAATGGTAGAGTGCTCGCCTTGAGCTGAAGAGCTGAGGGACAGCGCCCAGGCTCAGAGTTCAAGCCCCAGGACCGACAAAAAAAAAAAATGCCAGTGAGAATCTTATCAACAATTAGCCACTTAAAAAACAGAAGTGGTGCTGTGCCTTGAGCTAAAGAGCTCAAGGGACAGCACCCAGGCCCTGAGTTCAAGCCCCCACGACTAAGGAAAATAAAAATAAGTCAGGCACTGATGGCTCATGCCTGTCATCCATCCTAGCTACTCAGGAGACTGAGTTCACAGTTCAAAGCCAGCCCAGGCAGGAAAGTCCATAAGACTCCTATTTCCAATTAACCACCAGTAAACTGGAAGTGACTCTGTGGCTTAAAGTGGTAGAGTGCTAGCTGTGAGCAAAAGAAAGTAAAAATAAATAAAAAGCCCATCAGTGAGAGGAGTGATGAAGTTACTTCTGACCTGCCCAGTGGAATACCAGGTGCCTATAAAAAAAGAATAGAGAAATGCATAGTGTAAAAACATGGACTATCTCCAAATGATAGCTGTGAAGGGAGGGGCCCGAAGGAGTGAGAGCACGCAGCCTGCTGACTCTGTCTGCTTCTCAGAGGATCCTAAAGAAGGAAAGAAGAGAGAAGAAATAGCATAACCTTACTTCCACGACTGGGACCTGCTGCTCTCCCCCTCCTTCTGTATCTTTTGAGTCTGAATCCAGAAAATGGATTCTCAAACAGATAAATGGGAAATAAACAAGTTGAGACACAAACAATAAATGCAGCCAGGTGCCAGTGACTCACATCTGTTACCCTTGCTACTTTAGGAGGCAGAGGTCTGAAGATCGAGGCTCAAAGCCAGCCTGGGCAGAAAAGTTTATGGGCCTTTGTGTCTTTGTGTGTGTGTGTGTGTTGCTTGTGGGGTTTGATCTCTGAGTCTGGGCGCTGTCCCTCAGCTCTTCAGCTCAAGGCTAGCACTCTACCATTTGAGCCACAGCGCTACTTCCGGCTTTTTTCTTGTTACTTATGTGGTGCTGAGGAATGAAACCCAGGGCCTCATGCATGCAAGGGAAGCACTCTACCACTGAGCCACCTTCCCAGCCCCAGTCTTTTTTAATTTTTGGTTGGTTATGGGGTTTGAACTCAGGGCCTGGGCACTTGAGCTCTTTTTCTCAAGGCTAGTGCTCTATTACTTTGAGACACAGCACCATTTGCAGTTTTTGAGTGGTTAATTGGATAAGAGTCTTAGAGGGACTTTTCTATCTGTGCTGGTTTGGAACTGTGATCCTCAGATCTCAGCTTCCTGAGTAGCTAGGATTATAGGCGTGAGCCATTAGCACCTGCCACTCACCATCTTGCTATCTCAACCTCCTTAGTGCTGGGATTACAAGTGTGTACCACTGTGTATGGCTAAGTTAGCATGATGTGTTTAAGGTTCTTCATGTTGTAGCATGTTTTGCTGTTTCATTCCTCATTATGACTGAATAATACATTCCATTATATGAGTAAACTAGACTATCTATTGGACGTTTGGGTTGTTTCTATATTTGGCTATTGTGAATTGTATTTTTATAAACATTAATGTAAAATGTTTGTTTAAACAGCCATTTTGAATTCGTTGCCTGTGTTACTTTATCATTCATTTGATGGTCTGAGAGGATTCTTTTTTCTTTCAAAAGAAATTTAGAAACAGGCATGACAGGACAGACAAATCCAAGTGGGAAGAATAAGTGGGTGGTGGCAAGGAGGGGGTTTGGGATCTTGGGTTGAGTGACCAGAGCCTGAGGGAGAGGCCAGAGCCCCATGCGCTGTACAGAATTTCCCAACCCAGGCCAAGCACACCAAGAAGCTATTTGAAAAGGCTGAAAAGGGGAGTCCTATGAGCAGATTCATATTGTGGAGAATTTCCCTTAGGACCTTCGTGTAGAGGCGGGAAGGGATGATGAGACACACCAGGCCAGAGAGAGGAGGAGGCTCTCAGTCAGGGTGCTAGGGGTGTTGTGCCAACATCCAGCCCTGGCAGGAGGCAGGTCTGGTGCTGATTGGCTCAGAGAGGCCCTCCTGGATGCCACTCCTCTTGCCCAGCCTCCTCATTGGCTCCACTGCTTGCTTCCCTCCTTCCATCACCACTTGAGACCACCCTATGGTCAGGGGTCATGGCCTAGCCATGCACTTCCTTTAATAACCAATCACCACCACAGCTCATGGCAAGTGACTTCTTCATTTCCTTCCATCTTCTTTTCCCCACATCCATTGACCACAAGAGGGAGGGCTGGGATAATCGATTTTGCTCACCATAGGTTCCAAGGAGAGAGGGTTATAATGCCTGCCATGGAATTAGTACTCAGCTTGGACACTCAATCAATCATACAGGAACCTATCTGTCATCTGATGGGCAGGCCCTGAGAAAGCAAAGTATGAGAGCCTAGCCTCTTCCAGGTCTCTTGGGATATGGCTCTGTGGCCAACAGGTGTGGCCTCTGGGGTCTGCTGTGTTTACTAAAGGGCAGGTCTAATTTGTAGGGGATGTGACAATCAGAGACCAGCCTGTATCTTAACATATCAAAATACATTAAAGACATAGGGCAGGACACTGGTGGCTCACACCTGTAATCCTAGCTACTCAGGATGCTGAGACCTAGGGATGGCTGTTCAAAGTTCATGAGACTCTTACCTCCAGTGCCCCACCAAAGAACTGGAAGTGGAGCTGTGGCTCAAAGTGACAGAGTGCTAGCCTCAACAAAACAAAAAAAAAAAAACCCTCAAGGACAATGCCCAGGCCCTGTTGAGCCCCACAGCTGAACAAAAACAAAAACAACCCAGAGACACAGGGCTCCATTTAAATGAGACTTAACTGTCTGCAATCTAAAAGACCCAGAACTTTGCTGGTATGAGCACTTGTACTGACTTTATTTCGGGGGCCTCCTGTCAGGCATGATGGTGCATCCCTGAAATCCTAACACTTGGGAGGCTGAGGTGGGAGAATCACAGTTCAAGTCCAGTCTGAAGGACAAGCGAGACCCTATCTCAAAAAAGAAGCAGAGGAGGCACATTCTAAAACCCAGAGGGAGAGAGCCCAGGACCAGTGACACGAGTGATCGACAGGACAAGGTTTATTGGGGGTGCTGGAGACATGGGGCTGTGCGACAGACAAGGAGGCCTAGGCTCATGGGGGAACACCCTAGCCAAGTCCCCCATTATTCTCGGGCTTCCGAGGAACAGAGAGACAAACTGACAGAGATGGAGAGAGACAGACAGGTGCTACAGATTAGGAGGGAAGTGCAGAGCCAGCCAAGCCACCTCTACGGGAGGAGGTCGCAGGGCCGGCACGCAGAGGCTGGTGGCTAGCCCACACACTACAGGGGCCAGGGTGAGCTGGTCTCTAAGAGGATGGCCAGTCCGTGAGGGGTGGGGGTCCGGACCAGTTTGTTCTGCTCAGGGGAGGGGTGAGGAGGGTCGGTCCATTCTGCAGGGGGAGTGGGCGGGAGCACCTACCTGGTCCTCTTTCGGTGCAGGGTATGGAATGGGGGAAAGGCAGATTTCGGCTATATCTGTTTTCTGGGGTCGCCAGGGACTGGCGGGCAGTTCAGAGGAGGGAGGGATGCTTCCAGAAGGACTTAGGGAACGTGATCCCCGCCCCAGGTCCCCCATGTCGCTGGGAATGATGGCTCTCAGGAAGGGGGCTTGTGGGGAGACCCACTTTTCGTTCCTAGGTCCCCACATCTTAGGCGCCTGCTGATTCGGGGGTTCCAGCACATGTTTGGGGAGGGGTTATTTCTAGTTCTGGTCTCTGTGGATGTCAGCGGCCACCCATGTGGTCCTCGGGTCCCCCCCCCCGGGGCCGAGTCATCGGCTTCCTTGTGGTCCCCAACGTTGGGGTGCACGCGTGGATCGGGGTAGGCCGGGGCCCAGTCTGGGGGCGCCGGGGGGGGGCGGTCTCCGGGCGGGACGGGCCTCTGGGCTGGCCCGTCAGTCCATGCCCCGGTGCAGCTTCAGGTGCCGGGAGAGGTTGCTGAGCGTGATGAAGCCCTTGCCGCAGATGTGGCAGGGGAAGGGCCGCTCGGGGCCGTGCAGCAGCCGGTGGCGCTTGAGGTAGCACTCGTGGCGGAAGAACTTGCCGCACTCCAGGCAGGGGAACGGCTTCTCCCCGGTGTGCACCAGCACGTGCCGCTCCAGGTCGCGCGGCGAGCGGAACAGCTTCTCACATTCGGAGCAGCCGAAGATCTTCTTGGTGCTGCGGCCTGCGCTGGGCGTGGGCTCCCCGGGCTCCCCAGGCGGCGTGGGGCCACACCATGCAAACACCC